TTAAAAACGCTATTATTAAAAAGGAAACAAATATATCTATAATAGCACTTTTAAAAAAAGTGTTATTAAAAAGGAAACAAACATATCTATAATAGAACTTTATGGTCGGGTGCTATTATAGAGTGTAGACAATGTGATTTTGATAGCACTTTATTAAAAAACGCTATTATTAAACTTCAATAACATAGCGCTTTCTTTAAAATGCTATTAATATTCTTTATTAAGATCTCTTATTATAATATATTACTAGGAATAGAAGAGGATAAGGGAGGCGAGAATCATGTCCTGCTAAACCCTCACTGTTGTGATAACTTCTTTCACAACCTCCCTGTTTGAATACATTCTGCCATGACTGGGTTTTTACCACCACTCTATTTTAACACCAATTTAACAATAACATACCATCGTCACCTTTTATTCCTCACTTAGAGCAACTTTAACGCAGAGTTGTTAAACCAAAATTCTTTATAGTTTACGTTAGTAATAAGGAATTTGCATTATAGGAGAGCTGACATGGCATCCAAATGAACTAAAATTTAGTTCCCATTATCTATATAGTTAACGTTAACTATGTGAAACCTATTATAATATTATTTAATATTAATAAAATATTCCAAATATTCCAACAACATTAAAGTAATGATATGATATTTGAAAATAGTAACGGTCGTATTATCATTTTTTACCTTCTATAAATTCTATAGAAATTTTAACTTTTTTTACACACAGTTTTACTACTAAATTTTTTTCTTTCAATTTCCAATCTTATTTATTTATCAAATGGATCCAACCAATCGAATCCTTATTATAATTATATTCCTATAAAAATGTAATTTTTTTAATGTATTATTGTTGTGAATTTTGTATCATTTTTAATTTTATAATAAAATATATTTAATATTATTTTTAAGTTTTTAAGGTAAATTTTATTTAAAAAATTATATGTATTTTAATTAAAATAATTAAATTAATGGTAACTTGAATAAAAAATATAAAATGTGGGGTCAAGTTTTGGTTTCTTATAGACAACCATCATTAAAGTAAAAACTACTCAAATCAACTATAAATTTTTTAAATCCTACAAATCACTTTGGGCCCACAAAAAGTATCTTAGTTTACCCATTTAGTTTACTCTCACTAAAGATGCTCTTAAAACCACTTGAAACCACTAGAAACCGACAAATCCACGTCAACCGATTCAAGCGAACCATGCCACAAACCCTCTAATCTTCATCGTGACCCATCTTCAACCTTCAGATTTTAGAAACTTGTTGACATTCGCCATATCTAATTGTAGAATGCTTGTGTGTTCGTTTCTCATAGATGAACGCAACCATAAATCCAACTCAGATTCGTTGTAGTCCGAGTTCGTTCCCGACGACCTGATAATGCAGCCTACGACATTACATCAACAACACAACAATACATCTGTGCTGACAACATTGACACAAGCGCTAACAACATCACTAGTCACTACAAATCTGACATCATCCGTGAATTCAATCACAACAACTGCAGAAACTCACATGTCGGTAATCCTCGATCTCAAACTCTTGTGTGTTGTAATTTTTTGGGCCAACTCTGTCGTTCTGATTTTTTCTTATGTCATAGTTCAATCATGTAGATGTTATACATAATTAGTTGAAGAAACTCACATGTCGGTAATCCTCGATCCTAAATCATTTTTGTAAACATCCTCTGCACGATGAGGTTTCCCGAGTGAAGGATTCTACATTTGGATATTTGTAGTTCCGCGTCAACACCACTTTAATGAGAAGAACATTGTGCATCTTTAACTTCAAATCTTTGTCTCTCTTTAAAGCTTCAGAATCCCTATTTTGAAGGAAAGCACAGGCATTTCTTAAGCATACTAGAATTGATATTTTTTGCTCTTATAATTGATATGTATGTTAGATGTTCGATTAAATGCCTCAGAGAAACAAATACTTAATTATTCTGAATGATTATGATATTGTTTCAATGTTGTAGCTTGAGAAAGAGAGTTTGTAGTTTCTAGCAGGGGAGTGGTGTGTAGCTTGTTTGTGTTCACCCATTTGAATAGTTTTTGGAAGAGAGGACTCCACCAAATCGAGCGGTTCCATAAATTGTGAATCATTTGTTTGAGTAGATTGTGAAGTTGACATCATCTTTGAAAATGTCTGGCATAGTAGCACATGGTAAGCTGAAACTCCTGTTTGAATGGTGGATATTTAAGATCTTTGTTGAAATTTTTGGTTGATGATGGCCTGCTGGAAACCTATGAGTTCAGTGAGGGATAATATGTCAATGGCTGCTGCACCCACGAAGCCTAGGATTTTACTTGCTACTAGTGGGAGTGTTGCTGTTGTTAAATTTGCAAATCATTGTCAATGTTTCTGTGAATGGGCTGAAGTAAGAGCAGTTTCCACAAATCCATCCTTGTATTTTATTGACAGAATAGTGTTTCTCAAGGATGTGATTTTGTATACGGACAACGATGATAACGCAAATTGGAAGAAACTAGGAGATAATGTGCTTCACATTGAGCTTCACAATTGGGCTGATATCATGGTCATTGCTCCATTATCGGCAAACACTCTTGGCAAGGTAATTGATCACCATAATGTTGTTAGAAATTAAACCAACTCTATAAGACTTTCCAATTTCTATAGTTCCGACATATTTGCGTGATGATGTGTTCCTATCAATTCCATGATGTTTAGTTTCTGTATGGATGTGTTCCTATGAATTCTATGATGTTTAGTTTTTGTATGGACATCTTTATATAGGGCTTACATGCATGTTTCTAATAGTTTTTTTTATTCACTTGTTCAAACCAACTAAAACCTTTTCTACCCAAAAAAAAATTGATTGGTTACTTTTACAGGGTTTTGAAGCTGCTATTGCATCTGGTGCAAAATAAGTAGTTGTTTTTGCATCAGCTTCTGAATCATTCTCAAAATCAAACATTAACTGTAGTGTTGAAGAGAGTCTTGCTCGTTATCAAGCTGTTACTTGTGCTGCTAAAGAACTATCAGTTCATGTGTGAGGGTACAACTTTTACCTTTTCAAAATACTCTCAACATTCCAATTAGTTTATCTATTTTCAAATGTGATAGGTATATATCATGTGTCGTTGGATGCCCGGTGGATGGACCAACGCCTCCCTCGAAATTCGCATATGTTGCTAAAGAATTATATGACATGGGTTGCTTTGAAATTTCTCTTGGTGACACAAATAGAGTTGGCACACCAGGTAAGTGATCAGATGGATTTTGCTTAGAATTCGTTGGTTCGATGAATATGATGTGTATTGTTCGATGTTCCTTCTGTTATGTTCAGGAGTCGTTATCCCTATGCTGGCGTCTATAATAACAGTTGTTTCAATAGAGAAGATTGTTGTCCACTTCCATGACACTTATGGCCAATCCCTTTTGAACATTCTTGTTTCCCTTCAAGTAAGTCATCAACTTATAGCTTTTCCTTTTTACGTGCTTGCGATTCTTTGTATATGTCAAAGCTTTTATCGATGCACCGATGATTCTATTAAGGAAATCAATGGAAGCAATCAATAATTAATTTTCATTTATATAGATGGGAATTAGTATATTGGATTCCTCAGTTGCTGATCTTGGTGGGTGTCTATATCCTAAGGGAGCAACAGGAAATGTTGCTACTGAAGATGTTGTCTACATGCTGAATGGAATTGGTGTGAAAACCAACATTGATCTTCAAAAGCTCATGTTGGCCGAAGACTTCATCAACAACCATTTACAGCGGTCTTCCGGTTCAAAGACTTCCACTGCAGTAGAATAACAATATGATGCCGTTGGAAATACCAATGAGTTCTATAAGAAGGTTAAAGATGAAATTGTTAGGTATTACTTTCACTCTATCTCTCAAAACTTTTAGTAAATTGCATGGGTTTGGTTTAAGATGGAAAGGTATATTGTTCTTTTGAAATTGTAATCACTAGTTTTTTTATCACAACATTTGATGATTTGATTATATAATTTCATGTTCATTCTTTGTCATTATAACTCTTATTATTGTTATTACTACAACAAGAATTCTTTTCACCTTAATGTTTCTTTTGAGGAATCTGCTTTTAGTAATGGGATGGAAACACCAGTGTTAGCACAGGCTTTTAATAATGTTATCGAAGGGATGAATGATCCTGTTCGGAGGAGATACAATAATTCGTCGTCTATGGGTGATTGTTTGAGACCTCTGTTTCCACCGAATGATGACCGGAGTCGTTCTCGATTACCGGCAGGTAGTGATTGTGAGGTTTTAAGGTGTACCTCTAATGCTTCTTTTGAGAGGAACCTTTCAATGCAGAGAAAATCTGCTTTGTTGAAAACGAAAACTAAGTCTAGATTAATGGACTCGTCGCCTTATGAACAGCCTGATAGAAGATCGGGTCAGGTTGCTAAATCAGGTCAAATTTTGTCGGGATTTCTTGGGAAGAAAGGTGATGATGAAGAGGATGATCCTTTTATGGAAGAAGATTTTCCAGATGAGTATAAGAAAACAATTTAGTTTTTGGATTCTTCTTGAATGGTTGAGTTTGATTTTGATCATAGGGGCATTAGTAACGACTTTGAATGTTCCGTTATTAAGGGATAAGAATCTATGGCAGCTTAAGTTGTGGAAATGGGAGGTTATGATTCTTATTCTAATTTGTGGTAGATTGGTTTATTAGAATCGCTGTTTTTTGCATTGAAAGAAATTTTTTATTGAGAAAAAGGGTTCTTTATTTTGTGTATGGCGTGAAGAAAGCATTGCAAAATTGTGTCTGGTTAGAACTTGTTTTGATTGCATGGAATTTTCCCTTTGATAAGAGAGTTCAAAGAGAGACAAAAGGTGTTTTTCTTCATTATGTTACCAAAGTTTTGGTGTGTTTCTTGGTTGGTACTTTGGTGTGGTTGTTAAAAACTCTAGTAGTTAAGGTTTTAGCTTCTTCTTTTCTTGTGAGCACATACTTTGATAGGATTCAAGAGTCATTGTTTAATCAATTTATGATAGAAACACTCTTGGGGCCACCTTTGGTGGAAATTCGAAGGGCCGAAGAGGAAGAGGAAAGACTAACGGACGAGGTTCAGAAGTTGCAAAATGCTGGTGCAAACATGCCACCGGATCTTAGAGCTACTGCATTTCCTTCAAACAGAAGTGGAAGGTTGAGGAGTGGAATGCTTCATAAAAGTCCCGTCAAAAGTGGAAATTTTTCGATGCCACTTTCTAAGAAGTTTGATGATGGTGGGATTGGGAATGGTGGTGGAATTACTATTGATCACTTGCATAAGTTGAATCCAAACAATGTGTCTGCTTGGAATATGAAGAGGTTAATGAATATGGTTCGTCACGGAGTACTTAGTACATTGGATGAACATATCCTTGATTCCACTCCGGACGATGAGCATGCTACACAAATCAGAAGTGAAAATGAGGCTAAAGCAGCTGCCAAGAAAATCTTTCAAAATGTTACTTGCAGGTTATTATCCATTAATCTAGTGTTACTTGCAAATTATTACTCTATCTTTATGACATTATCGATATCACAGTGTCTGGGCCGCGTGCCTTTGTCCGTATCAGAGTTTGTGCTTCATAGTCTAGTAGCTTGCTTGTTTCCATTTTTATATGTGTAATTTTATTTCTTTCATTTTTGTTGCATTGAAGGTTTATATACCCCGAGGAATTGATTCGTTTTATGCGAGAAGATGAAACAGTTAAAACCTTAAATCTCTTTGAAGGGGCATCTGATTCTGGAAAAATCAGCAAATCCACCTTGAAGAACTGGGTGGTAAGAATTAACGGTGCAGCCTATACCTAAACCATGTATTAGGATACACTGTCCTATATATTTTTCTATTATTTGTCTCCCATATAGTGCATGTCTATTAATTGCGTCGAGATCAAACTCAGCATTTCATCGGTGCATGTTGTTACATTCAATTGTAATGTGTTTGCTTCTATAGTATTTACAACAATGTTGTGCATTTTATTGTGCAGGTGAATGCGTTCAGGTAGACGTGAGCCCTTGCTTTGACATTGAATGACACCAAAGTGGCAGTGAACAAACTTCACCGAATGCTCAATTTTTTAGTTGCCATTGTCATACTAGTCATTTGGCTCTTGATATTGAAAATTGCCACCCCCAAATTTCTTCTTTTTGTGAGCTCTCAACTTGTCTTGGTTGCATTTATATTCGGTAACACCTGCAAGACCGTCTTTGAAGGAATCATATTTTTATTTGTTATGCATCCATTTGATGGGGGAGATAGATGTGAAATTGATATCGTTCACGTAATGTTTATATCTCTAGGAGCTTATAGATTGTCTTCTTGCATTACAGACATATCTAATTGCATCTCTCCCTATTTTTGCTCTCTTATTTCAGATGGTCGTAGAAGAAATGAACATATTGACTACGGTATTTCTAAGATACGATAATCTAAAGATAACGATCCTTAATAATCTCCTTGCTACTAAGGCTATACAAAATTTCTACCGTAGTCCTGACATGGGAGATACGATTGAATTCTGTATCCATATAGCTACTCCGCTTGAAAAGATTTCACTTATGAAACATAGAATACATAGGTATGTACTTCCACGTCTCTCTCCTCTATTATGTATGCATATTTATCGTTACATATATCTAAGCTAAAACCGTTAATGACCACAATGCAGTTACGTCAATAATAAGAAGGAACACTGGTACCATTCGCCTTTTATAGTCTTGAAGGATCACGAGCAATTGAACATGGTGACAGTGGCGATCTAGCCAACTCATAGAATGAACTTCCAAGACATGGGAGAAAGATTTATCAGAAGATCTATGCTAATTGAAGAGTTAATGAAGATTTTTAGAGATCTCGACATTCAATACTGTCTCATGCCTCTCGACATCAACGTAAGAGCTATGCCTACCACTTCTGATCGTGTTCCAGCTAGTTGGTCAATGGTCACATATTGAGTGGAAAGATGAAATTCATCACATACTTAGTATTCTCATGTTATGCGTTATGGGGTACTATCTGCTCCGACAGTGTTAACCTTTTAGCAGGGTAGACTTTATATAAAGAGTTTCTTTTGCTATTGTTATAGATTAGTTTGATATCTACTAGATTAGTTACTTTTTCAAGCAGTTTTGTTTAGATATTGAGTATTACATGGTTTTGGGAGAAAATCTACCGATATGGGATGGTCAGTTGCTGGACAGACATTGTTATGAATTTTTCTACTCAATCCTCCCACTTATTGTAGTATTAAGTTATAAAATCTCATTTTCTTAAAAGAATAAATAAAGGGGATTAATAGAGCTTTTCTAAAAAGTGCTATTAAAGATAGTGTCTACAATAACACTTTTAGAAAAAGCACTACTAATTACAAGGACTATAATAACACTTCTAAAAAAAGCGCTATTAAATACAAGGACTATAATAGCACTTCTTCAAAAAGCGCTATTAAATCCTTTCATAAAAAAGGTGTATGGTAGCGCAGAACAGGGCAATGATATCATTTATAATGAAGTGCTATTAATAACACTCATTTTAATAGTGTTGTCAAAGCGCTATTATATGTATCAAATCTATAATGGCAGGGGCTTTTATAACGCTATTAAAGGTGAAAAAAGCGCTATTAAAAACAATTTTTGGTGTAGTGATTGCAAAGCGACACTTTTGGTGATTTTTCTTCTCTTACAAGCAAAGATGGTAAGAATGAGAGTTATGTTTCCACTTGTGTGTTGAGAGCTCTGGTGTGTGGAATAGAGTGGAATGGATCCTCTATTTATAGGCCAAGTGAAGGTTCGGGCAGAATTGGCATTTAGCAAGACAATGTGCATTTTGGTGGGAAAAATCCATGGTGTTTCAAAAGGTGATTTTCATCTGCTGGTTTTGGATTCTTTCCAATAGTTATTACCCTCCATAACAGCTATCTTTGAGCTGGTTGTTCTGACCACAGAGGTACCAAGGCAAGCTCTCTAGTTGCAGCAAGACCAATGTTCTCTCTCATATGTACTTTTGTACTTTTTATATTAAACAAATGGATTATGGATGGATTCTTGGTTTTTCTTTGATTCCCTTCAGATCTGGTTCAAAGCTCCCTCTAACACATCACATTAGATGCTTTCTCATGGTTAGAAATGAAGTACATGGTTGGAAACCAAGTCGTTGTTGAGTTTTGACATGGTGATCATCAAGTGTTTGGAGTCAACTTGTCCAATTCGAAACTCTCAGCTCACAAGGGCTATGGAGAAGTTCTTGTACTTTTTGGAAAGCTCTCATGGAGCTCTACAACTTTCATGTTTACTATATTTTCAAATTCCAAGTGGAACTAGGTCAAAAAACCCCTCAAAGTTAGCCGAAAACATGTCTAAAAATGCCAAAAACTTAGAACTTTTCTAAGTGTTTTCTTCCTCTTGTGATGATTTTGACTATAACTCCACATATATGAATTTTTTGCCCATAGATCAGCTTTACACTTTTGTAGGGCTTGCCAAGACCTTTCCAACAAGTTTTGAACCACCTCATTTGGATGTGTGGTTAGAAAGTTATGGTCTTGCCCCTATCAAAATCCTAATTCTCGACTTTTTCGATTACTCCTCAATCCTTGATCCAATAATCATGTAACTTTATTGCTAGGTGTAATATGTTATTAGGAACATATTTTCTCAAACGTTAAGGTCAAATTCCATATGGCCAAGAGTTGAGTTTTCAGTCAAATGAATCGATCGATGGATAACTATCCGATCGACTATTGATATTCTGGGTCTTTTGAGGTCTTGAAACTCCTTGGGTAGACTTCACTAAGCCATATGAGCTTCATGGACCATGATTCCATCATTGGAACACTTTTTAAATCAAAAGTCAAACTACAGTTGACTTTTCCTAATCAGAAACCCTAATCAGGGGCCCTGAACTGCACTGTTCTTGAGTTTTGGGTGACAACCTCAAATTTAATTCAGACTTGATCCAATATATTATCTTTGGTGGTGTAGAGACTTATTCCATAGAGAACCAATCCAAAACATTGACTGATCAAACCATCAAAATCTCGATTTCTGACTGTATGGAACCCTAATTCACCTGTATCTTGATAAAGACAAACTTGAAATAGGTTAAGGTTAGATAATCAAATGAATATGATCCTAGAATGATGATGAAGGTCTAAGGGGTCAAAATTTGGGGTGCAACAGTTGCCCCTATTTAAATATATTCACCAGATGGCAATGAGAGATGATAATCCTCATAGAATCATAGTGAAAGGTATTTAAATATAGCATACCAAAAATTTTGTCCCTTAGATCTGATGGTATGCAAAAGGAAAAATGCTAAGATGTAATGAATTCTACAAATGATGATGTATGATGCTTGGATGTAAGACAAATGCAGGCACACGTGCAAAAGAAAAAAGAACAGCAAAATAATGAGTAACTACTCACGGGGGACTCGACACACTAGGGAAAGATCCAAGACATAACAAGCAATAGTTCAAATATGACTAATGATGGTACCTCAAGGGGATCTTTCACACAAAGACATAAACAATTCCACCGGGGAAGACAAGTCTTCACTTAGGGGAAAAGGGAAAACACTCCACTGGGGAAGAAGGCATATTCCCACCGGGGAAGCGAAAGACCAGAGACACGATCCTAACTGGGGATAAGCCAAAATGAGGAAATTCCTATAATGAAGAGTTCGAACGGGATATTTAGGAAAGGACTAGAAACAAGACCAGACGCACCGGGGATGCTAGTAACCACTAGATCTCCGAGATTCGACTGGGGAATTCAAAGCTTCGATGGGGATACCGGTGACAAATCGAACAACAAGCAGTTTTAAGCGGTGCTAGTAACTACTAGACTTCCTGGGGGTGATGATGATGACCGAACCAAAGTTCCAATAACAATTGGGGTTTCCAAAAAATGTTAGTAAATATAGGATTTCAGCCGGGGAAGTTGGTAACAACCAACTCACGGTACCAATAACAATCAGTTTCAAACCAACAATGCTAGTGAATACTGGACTTAGAAAGACTGGTGACAACCATAATGGGGATATGAATAATGAATGGTTTTCAAGCAATGCTAGTAGTTACTATACTTGGAAAGAGTTGGTAACAAATGAGTTAACAGGTACCAATAACAATTGGATTTAAAAGTGTTAGTGACCACTGGACTTTAACTGGGGAGAAATTAGTATCAAACCAACCTCCTTACCAATGATAAGCGATTTAAGCAATGCCAGTAACTACTGGACTTATACGGGGAAAATGGTAACCACCAACTCAAATGCCAATAACCATTGGATTTAAAGCAATACTAGTAACTACTAGATTTCAACGAGGATTGGTAATAATCGAATCAAAGGATTCCAATAACAATTGGTTTTAAACAAAGCCAGTGATCACTGGATTTTGGAATGATTGGTGATGACCAAGTTGAGGTACCAAATAACAATTGGGCTTAAATAATGCTAGTAACTACCAGACTTTCAAAGGTTATTGGTGATAACCAAATCAAGAGCAAAGATTAGTAACAAGTAAATCATCTTGGTGAATCAGATATTGCTAGTCACAACTAGCTTCCCAAGAGTGGTAACGACCAAAAGATCTCAATGGCAACAGCCAGACAAACAGAAACCCAACGCAAATGCAAACAAATGCGCATGTTGATATGATGCGAATGCAAAAATGCAAATCGACCCACAAGGGAGAAGGAAAGAGCAAAGTAAGGAACACAGAGAGGGAAATCATCACGCTGAGTCTTGATGTTTCAAGTTGGATGGCGCTTCCTTAGGGAAAATAACAATTTTCTGATGTAATCAATACTCTTGCAAACCTGTTGAGGAGAAATTTTGGCTTAAGAGAGGGGATTGTTGTTGGACGCGTCTTTTTGGTTGGAGGCAACAACAAGCTTTTACGGTTCTGGGAGTAGTGTAACACTGTCGCGTTACCTCTAGAGTTTTCAATGTGCTTTGTTAAATCAGTTTTCTTTAAAACAAAATTTAAGTTTTCAAAAACACTTTGCTTTTTCGAAAAAAATCCTTATTGACGAATAAGTGAAATTGCATAACAAAAAACAAAAGATCATAACAATGATTGGTCCAAAATCTAAGTTGATTAGGTACTTGAGTTTTTCGCCTTCCATGGTCTCGAGGATTAGGGATCCTCCGGAGAAAACAGTCTTCACAATGAAAGGTCCATCATAATCAGACATCCATTTTCCATGCATGTCCTTCTTTGTTGGTAGGATTTTTCTGAGCATGAGCTCTCCTTCCCTATACTTTTTGAGACGAACTTTCTTGTCGAACGCTCTTATCATCCTTCGTTGATAGATCTGGCTGTGGCATATGGTCGTCATCCTTTTTTCATCGATGAGGTTTATGAATCAAACCTTCCTTTTATCCACTCGGATTCTTCAAGCTCGGCTTCCATTAAGATCTTCAAAGAATGTATTCTGACCTCGATTGGTAGCACGACGTCCATCCCATATACCAAGGAAAAGGGAGTTTCCCCTGTCGAAGTTTGCACTGATGTTCTGTACCCATGTAAAGAAAATGGTAACATCTCATGCCAATCTTTGTAGGTTACGGCCATCTTCTGTATTATCTTCTTGATATTCTTGTTCGCAGCTTCGACAGCGCAATTCATCTTGGGTCTGTAAGGAGATGAATTGTGATGCTTGATCTTGAAGTCATCATAAAGTTCCTTCGTTGTTTTGTTGTTTAGATTCGATCCATTTTCAGTGATGATTTGGTCAGGAATACCGTACCGGCAGAT